GCATTACAGGCAAGTTGAAGTTATTTTTGCTTTGAGTATGAAACTGGTGATGGGGGGAATGTGGGGACGGACATAGTAGAGGCAAAGTAGCTGTAACAGGATTTTGTGTTGTGTAGATTGAATTTGTATTGAGTATCTCATGGGATCAGAAATAATTCACAATAGTGTAGGCCAACCTTTTTGGTAGGTGTGCCACAAATTAGCCTATACCCTCCCCAGGTGCCACTCTGATCCCCTTCCTCTGCCCAACTGGCTGTTCTCCTTTTTGCTCCCTGCCCTGTGCTCCCTTTCAGATCTGCTGCTCTGCTTTCTGTTCCCCACCCTGTGCTCCCTGATCATCTGCTGCTCTTTTTCCTGATCCCTATCTGCCACTGTGCTGCCTGTCTCCTCCCCAGTGTACTGTGTGCCACACAGAGAGGCTGCTTTTGCTAATTGTGGAACGTGTGCCATAAGTTGGCCACCCCTTGTGTGTAAGACTTTCTAATCTAAATCACTGGTTCATATCCAGCCATCCATCCTTGTTAATTATCTCACATCATTATTCTCACTCTTTGACTAAATACAGACAGTCAAAAAACCCGAGGCTGAATCCACAGGTGATGTTTGCCACCAGATCGGCCGCTGGGGGACCCCCTCCAGTCAGCAATTGGCCACTGGTGCCCCCCCAGGATCAGGAGGCACCAGTCGCCCATGGCTGAATTGATTCAATCTTTGCAGGCTAGTCTAAGATGCATAGCTTGAACCAATAAGCAAGTGAACAGACATTCACTTTTGATTCCAGAAATGCAGCCACATGCCTGCAGTGGCCCAGGCCAGAAGCTGGGGAGGCGCTAGAGCATGCCTCCCTGCTAGGCTGGAGCGAACAGCTTGGGCCAAGGATAGCTTGTCCACCTTTAAGGGGGGGGGGAGGCGTAAAGCATCCTGGGATGCTGGAAGACCATGAGTTAATTTGAATCTGGAGGGATTTGGGACAGAAGTTCAATCAACTAATTTAACCTAAATCCGTTAAGGCTGATAGTACATCCATCCAGGTTTATCTTAAACTGGTTTTGGCCATTTTGAAAGCAGTTTATGTGCATTAAACTTCTGTTGTTTAAGAGATTTGAACTGGTTTCCAATCACTTATACCGGTTTATGTGTAATTTCTGTGCTGGAAGTGCTAGACGTCACTGTCATTCTTTGAGAAAAAATGCCAAGGATTGATTTGAGGTTGCACAAAGAAATGGGGCGGAGACCCCTTCCTGGGAAACTTGGGTTTGTTCCAGTCTCTACTTTGCCTGGGAGCAGCGTGAACTAGTGATGAGAGGTCTTGGCTGGGTGGCTTGAGACTTTCGGTTTCTGTTTTTGGCTCTGCTGCTGTCTTTCTATGCGACCTTGAGCATCAGTTCTCCCTTCATCACCTTTCTCCTCCCATCTTTTGTTTAACAGGTAAGCTGTGCGAAGTAACAACTGCCTCGTAGTGACTATGCCTTTCATGCACAATTAGCTGTCTATATGAGTTACTCTTCTTGATTTAGCTGAGCTTGGGTGAGAACAAATGTGTGGTGAAATGACAACTCACAGTGCTGCCTCCGTACTGGTGCTGCACTCACCTAGATGTAGCCCCAGGGCTTCCAGAAGCGTAGCCCACAGTTCACAGTGCTTCAGGGAGCTGAGATGCTTGATATTCGTTCCCAGTTAGTATTGGGATAGCTTGTTTGCTGTTTCTGGGCTCACTGTGGGAACGGGGGTGAAGACATTGGAGGGCTAGCAGTACTCAGGTGGAGCTAGTTTGTATCTGTACCCCCAACTAGTCTCATTAGCAGCTGATGAGTTGTGTTAACAGGACTTTAGTCTATTACCCCTGACAAGCCTGTCAACCTGAGTTAAAAATACACCTGAGTTAAGAGGTTTTTGTGTGTGGACGGGACTCAAATTAGGGTTTAACTCTGCAGTGAGTTTAAGGCTAAAATGTGCTTGACAGCCTGTAGCACAGTAAGGCCTCAGTCTCTGGTTGGGGCCTTGAGGCACTGCTCTACTGTAAATAACATATTGTATCTGCTCAGCCTACAAATAGAGGACTGCTAATTTGGCACCTCTCCTCAGTAATGACCTTATTAGATAGTGCATGTGCATGCATATATACAATATAATTTTAGTTGCTGTGGAAAAACAAACAGCCACATTTATTTCAGTGGTATTCAGACTGGAGGAAAATCCACTTTTCCTTCCCTCAATCTCAGTGTGACATGTCATGGAAAATTGCAAACATCATTAAAGAAGGAAAATATTTTCCTGCTTCTACCAGGGCATCAGATTTCAAGTGGGTAGTGGATGAAGACAATGTCTCTTTAAAAATGAAATTATGGGAAGTGGCAAAATAGCGTGGTCGACACAGCACCTGTACCAAGTTCAGTGTTAGCTGTAGGCCTTATTGCTCCTGTGATTCCTTTTTATGTCACATTTTTTTTCCCATATGTGGCCCATTTAAGTACATTTCCTGCTTTTCTGCTTGTGTGTGCATGCATTAGTTGGGACGTGAACTATCATCATTCTGGTAGCAGTGGTGTATGTGGGGGTGGTTGTGTATTAATATAACACATATTCTCCCTGTGCCTCCTTGAAATTTAAGAGGTGTTTAAGACATCAACACTTTTAAAAGGAAACAATATCATTTTCTCCCAAATATAACTCACAATTAACCTGTAGAACTAGTTGCCATTGGAAAATAACCATGGTCAGAAGCCTAGGAGGCTTCAGAAATGGATTTACCAAAACGATGAATAAGAGGAATTATTGTAGTTATTTAAAGTAGTAATAAAATGCATAAGAGATATAAAATTGTATTCTTCTGGGCGACTGCTAACTGCATGAGGCCACAAAACCTTCTTCTTGGGTCAGGTTATTCCATAGTAGTCCTTCAAGGGTGGAGGTTCTTGGAGCTTTTTCATCTTCTTTTGAAGCATCTGTTGGTGTCGACTGCTAAGGACAGAATAATACACTAGGTAGACCTCAGGTTTGATCCACTATTGTAATGCCTGTGTATATGTTGAAAGCGCACACATTTAACAATGTTATAGGCATGTAGATAGACGTGTAATGTCCAACAGAGCATTAGCTGTGTTCCATCTCCTGAAATGCTGCCAGAATCAGATCCAGGTCCCTTTCCCAGCCCATCACAGACACAGGAGCTAGTCACCAAGTTTGGATTTTTATTTTTAAATATGTTCAGCATTAGAGAGTGGTTGAGTGAGATGGCTTTGGTTTTGACCCATCTGTTGGCCAAATGCAAGTATATCTGGAATTTTCAGCAATGTGAAATGTCTGAGTCCCAAATGTAATCGGGTGTACAGTTTATGGCACCGCAAACCTTTGTGGTGCCACAAACTGCATGTGGCAAACATTAAAAGTGCCCTGTGCTGCACATTTGCAGTGCGAAATTTGCTACTGGGATTTCTCTGGTAAAACTGTCCCTCTCCCCTCAAAAAAACCAGAACAAACCAAAACAAAAAACCAACAACACAAACAACCCCCCCCCCCAAAAAAAAAACCCGGCACAAAAAGCAGTGCAATGCATGTACAACAAGTGTGTGCCAACACACATGGAAGCTGGGCTATCCAGAGTAATGCTTTGGCTGCCGGCCAGGCCTTCATGCTTCCTGACCTGTGTCCCTGATGCTCCAGACCACCCGGTAAGACTGCTGGCTCCAACCTCCAGCTCTCCCTGGCTGAAGAGCCAAGAGGAGCTGGGCAAGGGCAGTTTGCCTGTTGTGGCATAATTTTGTCCTGCAACTAAGCCCACATGCAGGGGAGTGTGTTGCAGCAATTTGTGCCGCAGCAACCAGGGCACTCTTAATCCAGGAAAAAAAATAGTGGTACAGTTCACTCACTGGACTGCAGACCAGATCCGGTGTGTCGGCCTGGTCCTGCCACATGGAGCTGGCACAGCTGGGGTCCAGTCCCACTTTGTGGGGCCCATTTGTCTGGGGTCTGAGCTCACCCACTTTTCGTGATGCACTTTTTTTTGCTACTCTCACAACTCACTGGTGTGCCACAGCACACCCTTTGGGGACCGCTGATTTGGACATTGTCCTAGTGTCCCATGTGGTAGGTATCAGGAGCAGATGAATTTTCCAGTACTGTGTGCTGGTAGGAGATAAGTGTTTATTTAGTGACAAGATGCGTGTTTTTGGAGATGTGGTGATACAGGAGGTGCGGTAACAGTGGGTATTTGGGTTTAGGGAAAATGAGAGGTGTGTAGGGTGGCATAGCAATGTGGATGTTCCAATATGGAAACGTCCTGTAAAATGCTAATGGTCTTTTTTTAAACTACCTCTGTCTATCAAATCCTGTGGGTGGTTTTAGAAAATCTGCAGAAGGATTCAAGGTTTCTGTTATAGTCTGTAGATCTGGTAAGTAAATTACATTTCTGTGGAATCCTACGTGTACCATCCTTATTCCTTTATATCAGACTTCTTCCATAAAGGGTGACAGGGCGAGTATATACTTACTTTGTCAGTGTGTGCAGGTGTCATCATGAAACGAATCAGGGCACATATATATATATAGTGTAGTTGAGATGATGGCCCGCATGAATTTGTGGGTGTCTTGTAGGCTGGGGGTGACAAGACGTGTCTGTGTTTGTGAGGGGGAGTTGGGGAAGTAATTGTCCCTAGGGGAGCACAGGTGGGGACAGACCTAGTGTGGTTGCAGGTTGTGTCTTTTTTTAAGGGGTTAACTAACAGGGTGTGGGTGTGTATATATGGGGAGAGTTGGAGGTGGAAGGGGGGGAAGTTGTGTGTTAATGTTGGGTGCAGGTGGCCGGGTACGTGCTGGAGTGGAGTGGAAGCTGAGGTTGAGGAAGAGGATGTGTATGCAGGTGTCCTGGCAGTCATGTGTGGTTTGTGGTGTGGATAGCTGCAGGACAGGCAGGAGAAATGGCTGCGTGCAGCATCACGGGCAGTGGGCATCAAGCATTTAATACTAATGACAAAGCCTTTCTCTTTTGATTTTCCCCTTAGATCTCCTACCCCCCAAGTGATGAGGACAGCGACGACTCTGAGGGCGAGAACCAGGAACTTGCTCAGATTGACAGAGGTAAAGCAAGAGGATGGGTAGGAGGGTTCAGGGCTGCTGTTGGTAGATGCCTGCCTTCTAGTTCATGTTATCCCAGCTACACCACAACCAGTTGTACAGTCCCACTATTTGTCTCCCCAGGGGACACTTTGCATCAGCTCCCATTTCCACATGCATCCTCCTTTGCATGGCAACCTTTGCTCAGGAGAGGCCTGATGGCTGCAGGGGATTCACCAGGATTGTAAACAGGTGTTCAGAAGGGCATCAGTTGTCAGGATTGTTCTTCATTTCCCTGTACATGTGCACAAGTACATAATAGGGCTCATTCCCTGATGCTCTGATTGAGTGGATTTTGGTCACTTCGCCACTCTGGGACTGTGTATGGGGCAGCCCAGTCCCTGAGGTAAGAAGTCAGCAAGACTGGCCCTATAGATAAATTGTGCAAGTGTTTCCAGATGGGACCAGAGGTTGCCAAACTGTTTAAGTTGTTTGCTAAGAAAGGTGAATATTGGACAGGGACCAGAAGCTCAGGTCGGTGAAGGTCTCAGGGCAGGGTAATGACAGAGCGGGGAGGAGAACCCAGTCCCCTGATTCCCAACCCAGGACCCTGTCTAGTGGACCTTGCTGATTCTTTGTAAGCTGCATTCAACAAAGCCTGTTATTATATGAATCATACGTCACACAGACTGCTTCATTATTAAGGTTGCAAAATCAAGCACACCAGTGTTAGGAAATACCTAAACTAAGATGAACTCTGCAACCTAGTTTGGCCCACTTTAAACATATGCGTTATGATCCATTACACAAACATGTATTGTGTTCAGAGGGACACTGCCTCAATCAGTGCCCAGGGTGGATGGTGCTCAGGAAGTGAGCAGCTTTTCCAAGTTTTAACCTTATTATTCATGGTGTGGTCCTAGGTTTTATTTACTGCGCACTGTTTAAATCATGCTCTGAAGACTGAATTAGTAATTTAGTCACCATCTTTTTTTATCATGCTCATCTCTGTAGGGCTCTAGCAATTTACAAACACGAACTGACTTATTTTCACAAAACCCCAGGGAAGTATAAGGATGGTCTAGTTTATGTTTTAAAATGGGGAGCTGAGGCACAGGAAGATCAAGGTCAAAAGTATCCACCAATTGTGGGTCCCAGATTAAGGACACCACAGACCTATTTTTTTTAAGAGTAGCTAGCATTAAATGGCACTTTGCATATTCACTGCACATCTCCCATTGCACGTCACGTTCCAGAATATTGTGTTAGGCACCCAGAAATGAGGAGCACGCAGTTAGCAACCACCAGTGAAAAGTTTGGCCGTAGTGTTCTTTACCTGACAGTCCATAGGACCTTTGTGCCTGAGCTAGGGATCCAAAACAATTCTCCAGGGCAACACATGACTGCTTTTGGCATTAGACCAACCTTTTTCTTGCTGCAATTTCCTGTTTTATTTGCTACTCACCTTCCAACTTGTGCAACAAATGAAGCAGGGATCCTACAGTCAACAGTTGCCTTGATATACAACTCTGGTTCATTCCAGAGCATCATCTCTTCTGGGTCGTGAAAGATGTAAAGGTCTTGCAGAGAAAATAGAATCATAGAAGTAGGGCTGGAAGGGACCTTGTAGATCTTCAAGTCTGACCCCCCACCTGAGTGGGAGAAAAGACTGGACTCAAATGAGTCCAGCCAGGTAATCATCAAGCATCTTCTTAAAGATCGCCAGGGTAGGAGCCAGCACCACTTCCCTAGGAAGTTGGTTCCAGCTCCTAGCCGCCCTAACTGTGAAGTAGTTCTTGCGGATGTCTAATCTAAATCTACTCTCTAATAATTTGTGTCCATTGTTCCTTGTCATGCCAGGGGGCGCTAGGGGAAACAGTGTCTCCCCTAAACCCTTCTGGTCCCCCCTAGTGAGTTTATAGACAGTCACCAGATCCCCCCTCAGCCTTCTGTTGTGAAGGCCGAACAGGTTCAGGTCCCGCAGTCTTTCAATGTAGGGTCTGGCCTGTTGTCTCCGGATCATGCGGGTGGCCCTCCTCTGGACCATCTCAATGTTGTCCACATCCCTCCTGAAATGGGGCGCACAGAACTGGATGCAGTACTCCAGCTGTGGCCTGACCAGCGTCGCATAGAGGGGGAGGATCACCTCCCTGGCTCTACTTGAGATGCACCTGTGGATGCA